TAGTATATCTCATTGCTACTGTTGTACCGAAAGTGGTATATACCGGTGCACGCCCAAGTTTCATGTGTGTGACAAAGCCAAATTATTCACGCGCGAGGCAAAGCCAAGCTTGTGAGAGTAATTTTATAATTTGAGTTAAGTCATTGACTATATAACACTACTATACTGTTGTGTAGTGTTGTTGGTGTTGTATAGTCAATGGTTAAGTGCTGGAAAATCACCTTCGGTACAAGCTACAAACGATACTTTTCATTACGTCGAAAAAATACATACAGAATTACTGACCTCAGTAAAATTAAAACCATTATATTTCCTGATTAACTATATTTCAATGTAAAAGCAAAAGCAAAAAGGTTAGCCTATAGTAAACCTATATAACAACGTAAAAATTAGTCCAGGTTTAAGGGGATATGGCAGTGAAAATGCTAACTTCCTTAACATTATCACTAGGTCTTTCAAACTTATACCATATGTTTTATAGGCATAAAAATAGGTATAAACATAGTTAAAAGTAAACTTTTTCGTTAAGTACACCCTTAATATTTTTTTTTTTTTTTTAGGTAATTAACGAAATTTGATATAACTTCAGTTCTAATTATTGGATTTTAATCATTAAACCATCAGTTTGCAGGGAATAATGCCCTCTAAATATTTAGGTAGAATTATAACAGTATCTTTATTTATTAATTTTTTATGGGTCATTTTGTAATTAAAAATAAATAAATTGGTTTTCTGAGAAAATAAAAAAATCTTTTTTCACTTTAGAATAGACATACATTTACAATTCTACCTAATTATTTAGATAATAACATTCTAAACACTTGGTATAAATTTGAATCATGTAGCATAAACCGTTTTATATCTTCATTAAATTTAGTAGTTAAAAACGTTAAAAAACTGATTAGCGGGAATCGCACGCTAAAGTTGCACTTGACTGTGTAATGGTGATACTTATTGTTGAGTTATGGATCAATTTTTTGTTTATGCGAGCATTTTATTATTATTTATTATATTATTATGTAATTATTACTTAATTATTTTATTATTAATATTAATAATAATGATAATTATTATTATTATTACCAAAATAAGTCAATGACCGGACTTTTTAAAAATATTTTCCGTATTTTTCTTAATATAGCCTAAGCACAAAAAAATATATTTTTTTTATTTTTGATCAATTTTTCTTATTTTTAGCTTTATAAAATAAATAATAGACAAATTTAAAAAATAACTTTTTTGAAAAAAAAATCATTATTTCACTGCCATATCCCCTTAAGGTTATGCCCATTGTTCAGTAAACTCACACACTAAAAGCTTAAAACACAGCAAACCAGCACACTAGCACACTAGGCAATGCATATTTCTGTTCACATGTTTATAAATACAGTAAAAACAGCTGGTTTCAATAATAGAAATAAATTGTTAACAAACACTAGCGTGCGTGGTGGGCAAATGGAGATCTGATTGAGAGCTAGGGAAAATCAGCTGATCGTAATTTCCTTGCTCTAAATTAGAGTTTGGTAAACAGTTACTTTCTTTGATGTCAGCTGTCATTGAAAACGGCTAATTTCTGTACGACGCGACTTGATAAAAATATTTAATAAACTGAACTCCTTTAGGAAAGAATTACGTTAATCTTACTACATGCTAAATACCATCCGTTTTAGGTACTTCAATAGGTTGAGAGGGGTACGGCGTTTCTGCCCATATCATAATCGTACCTTTCAACGATAAACTTCTACAAGCAGGCCCTAATAATGCAGAAACCTGGTACGCCAAGAGCCATGATATTGCCATTTTCACCTTTCACTGTTATTTCAGTAAAGCTTTAAAAATAATTAGGCATTGTGTTTACTACAAGTTATAGCTAGTTACCCCGTCAGTGACAGTGTAATGGTATAAGGGTTAGATGTATGTACGGGATTGCCGTTTCACCAAATTGGACTGTGTAACCCCATAAAGCGTTGACTCTATCTCTATAAGCCTTATTCATGATTTTCTACTGCCGCTGGCGACGTCGCCAGGCTACCTCGTGTAATAGGGGCCTATTCTTTGAATCCATTGATAACTATTATGGAAGTGTTTATTTCTTTGAACACTTATATCTGTTTTAAAATTTATTTACGTTTGACGAATCATGCCAACCTTATTCTGCCTCATGATAAGTTTCAATTGTACCTGACATAAGTTCGCCCTAACTGTTATACACATACGTAGAATCCAAAACTACACTTGCCACACCGAAAATCGTATGCATTTTAACCTGGCAATCTTAGCATGCTTTTGAAAGAGAACCTTTCTACTTTTGCACGAAACTATATTTGTCTTCTCCTAGACCTTAAAACTTTTAACCGCTGAAAGAATCCAACATCCGATCAACTTCTCCCAAAGTTTCACAATAAAAGCTGTTAATCCATCATGCGACTCTCTACCAAAGTTTACCAGTATTTACTTTGCTACGAAGATTTATAGTAGTTTACGGCTTATGAAATCTGATTAAATCTTATGCTCAACTTCTTACTTTACACTATATGTTAAGCTGCAAAGTAAAATAAAACTACAGGGTGGTTGTGACACCTTTGGTTTACTGTACTATTAATCATGAGGTTTTTCATTCAACTTTCAACGAAACCTTACCTTTCCTCAACTATTCGTGTTGTATTTTATCTAAGTTTTTAAGTATATTTTTAGTGATATTAGTTGTAATTCTTCGTAAGGTGTGCAGGCGGCTAACTTAATTAAACATCCTAACTTGTTTTATAAAATCTTCATTTTTCGCGCACACAAAGATGCAAGTATAACTTTCGGATATTTGAGATTGGAATTTGTTTACCGTAAGATGTAACCTGAACAAATTTCTTGCGTTATACTGTAGTTTAGAATACAATTCCACTAAATAACCGATAACGAAATATTTTTTAATACATTGTAAAACTCGTAACATATAGCGGTTAAAGAAGTTTTAAGCCATTTTAATTTGTTAATCCATGCAGTCATATAAATGTATCGAACATTTTTAATTGTTTGCATCGGTTTTCGTCCTCCAAGATTTAGAAGTAACCTGATTCATAACTAGCCGTTATTTCTTGTTACATTGCAAAAATACATTTACAAGTTTCAAATTCATATCATAACATAACACTAACGCCATAAATTAATTCTAAATAAGTTAAATAGTTTAGAAAAGTGTGTGTCACGTCCTAGGGTAAGAGCTAGAGTTATTGGCACTACCATAGTTATTTTCACCTTTTTTTCAAAGCCTCGTACACATAAATGCAAAAGTCGGTGGAAGAGGGGAGTTAGTTGCTGAGATGCCCACATGAGTTCACTGTACTTCAGTGTGTGTTTGGTTATTCCAGAGGCCATGCCAACCTGCACAGATTTTTTTTTCAAATGCTTAGCCGATTTTTATTGATTCTTCACATTTCCTTAAGAATCTGACAAGGACTTACATACCTGTTTATTGTTTCCTATTAAAACTGAACGTTAAAAATTACGTTTTCATTATTTCATTAGTATTAGGAAGGACTGATTTGTCTATTCCCCCCACCCATTTACCCATATACTTAAAATTACCTAATATATGAGGGTGCCAACAACTGTGTCTAAAATATGTAGTGATTTAGTTATTGGCACAACCTTGGCACTGCCAATAACTGTGGTAACTGGCATGCCAATAACTGTGGTAAATACACTAATGCCGATTGGCACTGGTAATTATTGTGGTTATTGGCATGCCAATGACTGTAGTCACTTGTAACAGGTGACACTGCCAGTAACAGCATTTACTGTCATGGAAGTCTCTAAGTTATCGTAACATGGTTACACGAGTATATGCTATAAAAAATAATTTATTTAGGCCAATATACTTAATTTATATATATAAAGATACAAAGCTTCACATAACTAATTTTTACCATATTAAAAAAGGGTAAACCAAAAACCGATTTATATTATGTTTAAAACCACGAATCCTAGAAAAATACCGGTATGGATCATAAACAAAAACAAATGACGTTGTTGGCCCGAATCCTATACTAATAGCATTAACATATGTTTTGGGAGTTCCATTTATTCAATGTTAAATAATGTTTATTTTCGGGCCAAAAACGTCATTTCTTTATGTTTATGATCCATGCCGGGTGGAAAACCATTAAAATTCCGTCGAAAAGCCCCAATCAGGACCAAATACGTAACAAAGAGAATAAAAAATAGGCCTACAAAAGATGAAATGTGAACTTTGTAATGAAATATTTCACAGGAAATATTTTGATGGTATTGATTACGACGAACCAATACCAATTAATATGTATAAAGACGGTATTAAGTTCGGTAAAGGTGTTGCCAAAGAACTGAAACTAGGCCTACCATGAGCAATTTTAAGGATTTTAATTTTACTTACTGTATAATTTTCATTGTTTCTTCTATATACTATAATATGATTAGGCATAAGTTACATCACGTAAGACAACAGAGACCACCTTAGTACGCTTAAAATGTAATATTTGTAGACTTTTTTTATAGGTGCCAATAACTGTGCCAAGATGTGACAATAGCTATGGTTGATGGTGCCAATAACTATGGTTTTTGTATTTTTTAACATTTAAATTTTTTAATAAACTTAAGTAATGATATATATATTTTCTTTATACATCCCAGTATTCTCAGTACATTCTGCTACATGATTAAAAAAACGTAGATATTAAAAAAACTATTGCAAAAAGGAGCTGTGGTAGATTTTTCCGAAGCCTACCGTTAAGGTGCCAATAACTGTAGCATTTACCCTATCTAGGAAGGAGCAGTTTTTGTTAGGGATTTTCACTCTAGGATGCTGATTGTCATATTATAAGTTGACAACTACCGTTTTATCCAGACAAATTACAAACTTAGCATTTGCCGAATCTTCATCCACTAATTTTTTTACTGATATAACAATTATTTTAATTGGTATAAATTATAATCTTGTTACACTTCTGCTATTTTTCATAACACCACTATTTAGTATTATCTAAATGAAATTACAGTTTTATGCTTTAAATGAATGAATCAAATATACCTTTAATTTTAATTGTTTAAAGTTACAGCGATGGAGTTACAACATTGCCCCAACTTCAGTTGTATACTTCTTTGTGGTTAAACAAAAACATATTCCTAGCTAAGATAGAAATGATGCTCTATTTACCTGATCTGTTACCAATGTCAACCTATTGTCCAAACTTGCTGAAGTAATTATTTATTTATGTGACTTCACGAAGAATTTTAGGCAATCTGACTGGTTCACACAGTAACATAATTTACAAATACAACTAACTGTTTCCTCTTACTCTCTAATCACAGTGAAAATGTATGAAAATTTTGAATTATTCGTACTTATGGAATATTATATGATTAATTTGAGCTTAAAGGAATTATGTCTTTGCTTACAGACCTAGTTATAGCATCACTACAGTACTACTTGTAGACTACTGTTATCCCACAGAAAATCACTAGAAATAAGTGTTTGCCCTTGCACTCGCCAGGTTTGGGAAGTCAAGACCTAGCCATTCCAGCCACGCCACGAAGGCCAATTCTCTCGCCAGGTCTTCGTTCGAAGCAGGTTTTTTAGTTCGAATACTCAAGGTTTTCACAGTACATGAGGCGAAGAATCCGACTTTCCCTGAACACTTGATGTTTACTACTGGTTCTGGCCATTTTCTGAACTCGCAGATCTTCCTTAAGGTCTCTTCTGCTGTTCGTTCTGACGCCGTTTGTTGGAATATTACTTCAACTGCAAACAATAAAAAATACTGAGCATATGATGCATTTACCTTTCCTCTAGATAAAGTGTTGAAATTAGGATTGCGTTTAACAATTTTTCTAAGCGTTCACAGACTTAATAAGAGAGATATGATACCGATATGACAAAATAATAGTTAAAGCGCTCGCCTTCAAATCAGAAAGAAGGCTGGTATCATGAATTGTGAATTATGATATCAAATTAGATTGATTTTGACCCTAATAGTGTTTATATGTTAGGATATGTCAAAACATTGGAACTTTACTTATCATAAAAACTCGGGGTTAAACCATTTTTCAACAATTTATCTTTCTGGTTTTCCAATTAACATTCCCTGCATTTTTCATCTAAACATTCGTAGTACCCTACACGCACATACGTCATATTCATCTTTGTGCCGACCGTTATCATATCAGTAAGATTTATAAATAAGAAATATTTTTGAGTAAACCGAAAATGAAGGTATACCTTGAGCTGGAGGGATGTAGAAGTCAATGAGAGCAGGATCTCTCAGTAGGTCGCAAACTCTCTTTTCATACAATGTTTGGCCTTCTGTCTCTACCTCTTCCTTTTTATGTACAACAAATTCTCTGAGCAACCGCTCATAGTTCAAGCAAGATTTGTTCCCACCAGACTTATCGTCCGATCGACTAGGCGCGTCTAAATCTAGCAAGGTCGGTGTACCTAGTTGTCGTGGTCCTTCCTTGTGTGTGTTACTCCCCTTTCGTCCCTTACGCCTCGTCACACATAGGCCGAGATGTTTCACGACAGCCACCACTAGATTCTTGCGATTTACGAGTCGTGGTTTTTTAGCTGGCGTCTCGTATTCAATACTCTCTCCGTGAAGCCCCTTGTTTTGACGCTTTCGTCCATATGTGTTATTATCCAGTCGTTCAACTTTTGGTTTCCTGTTTAGCTGATTCCTTCCAGGCTTTTCTATATCACATCCTTTTACCTTCAGTTGCATGGTTGGATATTCACATTTAAATGTATTACAAGTGAGACCGCGTCTCTTCAGTCGCCGATTGAATGTTTTACTCTCAGATTCATCGCAAAGAAACCTCTCTTTCTCCAACCGTCTGCTCGGGTGTTTGCGTTTGCGTTCATCTGAGGAGGTTTCAACTTCATCATCAGAAGAGACTTGGGATGTGTGCTCAGTTTTTACAACAGTAGTCTCAGTTTTTACAACTGTATTCTCAGTTTTTACAACTGTATTCTCAGTTTTTACAACTGTATTCTCAGTTTTTACAACAATGCTACTATCGGTTTTTATAACCATCTTCTGGGTTGTATCGTTGTTCAAAGTAGCAGAAGACTCATTTGGGTGATCACGTTTTCTAAAACATTTAAACTGCATACGCTTGACGAATTCTAGGTAGCTCTGTTTTTGAAAACTGCAGCTTGTTATACTTGGGTTCTTTTTGGTCTCGTCTGACGGTTCGATTTTCACATTTGTAATTTCAGTCTTAATGTTACTTATTAATAATCCACTCATTTTCTGAAATAAATTCGTAACATGGAATAAGATGTAATATGTGATGTGTTAAGTTATATCTTAGTTATTTTAATATAGGTACTAAACGAAATATTAATGCGAGACACTCTTGTATTGTAACCAGTAAATTGGTACCTAAATAATCCCCGGCCTCGAGGTATACTGTCTAGAGTGGTCAACACTAGTAACTGCGCAGTAATAATATGATAATGCTTTGTCCTTTTAACAAAGTACGCGAATTGGCCACTTTGCTTTCCCAAATCAGTGGTAGAACATGTACATTGTAAGAAAAATAATTTTTGGGCTACAAATATAAACATATATTAATAACAACTAGCTTGGTATTGTGCCATGTCTCCATCATGGTCTATCGTGACGAAACAACTTTCATTATGCCACCCCAACATGGCAGACTACTTAGTGGAGTGAAATGGCTCATTACCCCCCCCCCCCCCAGAGTGGTTAGGATCCGTCTTCGTAATATTTTGTTAGAATGCGTGACAAATATTATTGTCCTTACTGGCAAGTTAACGAATATATTAAAGATTTTGCGCATTTTTATTTAGCAAAACAGACTAACATGGCGATCCGCCATTCATTTTTCCACAGCTAGTAAAATAGCCTATGTGATCTGATTGAGCAAACTCTATATTACCGGATAACCTAACCTACTAGTGACTGTTTCAATGTCAATCTTTCAATGTCGAAACAGTCAAAATTCACAAGAGAAATAAGATTTGTGAGAATAATGAAGACTCTGTTAGTTACTGTTGAGTTGGCCTATGATAACAAGCAACATTATTTTTTGAAGCTGAGAGGAAATCTTCTGCCTACTAGGCGTTGAACGTAAAGGAGAGCCCCAACTTGGTGCATTTCTGTAAATGGATTCTAGAGGAATTACCAATGTTCTTAACCACAAGTAAGATTGTAAGTTTCATAGAGAGTACTATATTAATGATATAATTTAACAGTGTAAAATAATATTGACTCTTTCGTGAGAAACGTCAAAGAGATATTGGGGTTAGTTACATCTCTGAATCACGTCTATAAAACGGTTCTTAGCCTTTTGCATATGTGGAGTGTCAGTGTAATATACCAAAAATATAGGTAAAGTCATACATGAACTCAGAAACTATTGGATCTTTTATTAAAAAATCTTTAAGAAAAACAACTTGAAACAATTGCTTATTAGCAAAGGTGGATCCAAAATTACCAAGGAAGTGGGATGTGAATAGGTTAATTTATATTTCTTAACCAAAACTAATACATAAACAAAATTTGTAAATGTTCCAATGAGTGTAGTATGCTGTTTGTTAAGGTTCATGCTCTACCATAGACTGATTGTAGACTCACTTACCTTAATTTAAAATTCACAATTTTGAATCAAGTGTTTTCTTTATAATACAGTCCAAGGAAACTTTATAATTAAGTAATAAATGATTTTGTGTAACAAATGAGACTCACAAAAATAGTGTCACAAATGAAATTTGTGTTTTTCTTAAAGAAACAAACAGCTGTGTTTAAATTTAAGAGTGGCATTTTTAAGAACAGTATAAAGTAACAAAAATAAAACCAACACATTGAATGGAAGATTATTACACAAATATTTTACTCGTGGCTTTCAATTATAACAATTATATTTCATAATTCTTAACATATTAAATACTAAAACTTATTTATTGGTATTTAACTATTTAACTACTACTTAATTACTACTTAATCAATGAATTGATCACTTTTTACTTTCTTCCCGTATGCATTATTGTATGAAGGTTATTTTAAATATCGCTATGTACCGTAGCTAATAAAAACCCCTCTTTCAAACATCAGCTTACATCTATTTCATAAATAAAATATATAAATATTGATAAAAAAATTGATGTTAGGTGATGTTGTTACCCTAAGTGCAAAAATAATTAAGTATCTATACACAGGAGAAGCAGGACTTTTCATTGATATTTTTTATTTGGTATTTCCGGGTTTTTCGGTTTTGTTGGTAGAGGTGGGAATGGTGAAAAAGCTTAATTTGGGTTAGTAATATTTTACGATCACTATTGCTTTTGGTGGCTTTTAAAGGTGTCCGTTGTCATGTCTTTTGTTGACTTTTTATACAGTTCAAACTGTATTGACATAGACGAACATCATAATATTAGCACCTTTGTTGTATCAACTGGGGGCGTAGCTCAGATGGTAGAGCGCTCGCTTAGCATGTGAGAGGTACCGGGATCGATACCCGGCGCCTCCAGATATATTGTTTTGCGATATTACATATTTATAATCACCCAGTCTAAAACTTTGGTGCTGGTAGTGATCAAAAGTTTTGTTTAATATGTAACTGAAATGTCGTTAATTCTTTATGTAAGACTAATGTGGTGGTCGGGGGGAATATTCAAGACCCCCAACGTTTGATAGCAAGCTAATTCTGTATCCGTTCAATCTTTATATGGCTTCGTAATTCCTCCAATCCCTGAAGTGGCGTCAAGTTGATCATGTTTTACGTTGTCTGCTGTCATAATCACAAGCCATGTTGGATTCTAACACAAATTAATTCAAAGTTAGATTTTTGGTTCTCTTCAATATAAGGTATTGATAATAGAATATTTGATTATTTTTTTTGAAAGAAACTTGAGCGTTCTTACTTTCTACTAAACTAGTATTGTATTTCATTATTGTGACAATGGCGTATACTTTTACTAGCCATATGATTCGATTTAACAGTTTTCAAAGATATCCGTCACGAAACTTGCATCTTGGTGTCCACCGACATCCCGGAGTGCCTGTATTTGTTAAGCTGCAGTCCGCTCAACTCTCGTGTAGCTCGATTGCTAGTCGTGTGCCGTAGTCTCATTTTTTATTTGCAAATTTAATTTTGTACGCAATCTTTTTTGAACCGGTTGTTTTGTGATAATTAAAACCATAAAAATATGTCAGAAAGTAAATAAACTTTGTAAATATTTTCTCACTCCTGTTTTATTTTTTATTTTTATAATTCTAGTATAGATTAAAGGAGTATAGGTACTGTAGTAGAATTGTCTACCCCTTTAATCTATGATGCTAGGTTCAATAAATTGGATAGCAAAAATTTCTGACTTCTTTTAGATTTAAATAGTCCTAATGGTTAATCTGAATACATTTTTATGGTTATACATGGTTTATGTACAATACATAGTTTCTATTTCAACAAGTCGAAATATATTGAACTTATCCAAATAATTCGATTTGTTTACATAGTATAACATAAACAAAACTTGTATATGTTTTAGTATTATAACCAAACAGTAAATCACACGCAGACAATTCTACTCTACTCATAATTAAGTCGGAGAGCACACTCATGCGCAGCCGGGCATGCGAGGCACATCACAACGGGTATTCCAAGTGGTCTCAGTTCCCACAAGTTTACTAATTTCACAGCATGGGAAACTAAATGTATTTATGTTGATTTTTGGCTACACAAACCACTGAACAGTATGTTACCATTCGATATCAATCATTAAAAAAGTGTTTTCGCAACAACTTATTTTCCTACTTATTTTTAAACTCAGTAAATTTGAGGAGAAGTTTAGTACATAACACTAATAATACATTAGTTTAGTAAAAGTTAGTTATAATAATAAGTGTAATAAGAAATTCATTCTACTGGAAAATTCTCTTTCAGTTAGTTTAACTAATTTACCTAGGGTGTATGTGTAGGAAGTGGGGTAAGTGGAACCAGGTTTTAGCATTGTTCAACTTTGACCTTACATTGCTTAGGTAATATTATACTTGTAATTGTGAAATTGTTTGTACCATAACAAATTCTTAAAAATAAAAATAAGTAAAAAAAATTGTTTTGTGGTTTCAGTTGCCTGGGGGCAAGCCATATCCGAATTATATAGCCTATATATATACAGGGTGACAAACAAGTCTGGAAACGGTTCAATATCTTTTTAACTAAATTCGTTAGAAAATTCAAACCTTTCACATCAACTTATATGTATGAAAACTACTTTTTGCAGTCATTGCCATTATTTGACCTTCACCAGGGGACGGCCCACGAGGAGTAGGTACATAATCTTTAATGTAAGCATAGGTTGATATGCACATCATTTTAAAGGCCTGGTTAAGTGGAGTTCATTACCGGAAACCGCGTCAAAAAAGGTTCATCCGTTACAAAATGGCGGCAGTTCAAAGTTCTTGCGGAATATACCTGCAGAGGCCTTAGTATTGGTAAATACTCATAGTCAACATTAGCAGGGAAATCTAAAACCCGGTTAAATTTGTTTTGATGATTGAATATTATTAGTCTATGAGCTAGTTGACTTTAAAATACAGTCTAAGCTCTCAAGCTAATGTTTAATACGAGTATTTGCCCATACTAAGGCCTGTGCAGGTATATTTCACAAGAACTTTGGACAGCTGCCATTTTGTAACGGATGAACCTTTTTGGACGCGGTTTCCGGCAATGAACTCCACTTGACTAACCCTTTAAAATGGTGTGCATATCAACCTATGCTTATATTAAAGATTATGTACCTACTCCTCATGGGTCGTCCCCTGGTAGAGGTAAAAAAATTACAATGCTTGGAAAAAGTAGTTTTCATACATGTAAGTTGATGTGAAAGGTTTGAATTTTCTAACGGATTCAGGTAAAAAAGGTATTAAACCGTTTCCAGACTTTTTTGTCACCCTGTATATATTGCAATATATCGCATTGATAGGATAGTAATGAGGGGCAAGTGGGTCAATTGGGAAACTTTCTGAAATTCTGGGACTTTTTTAATTATAAAAAAATAATGAGTTATAAACACTTTTTTGTAGACCTTTGCGGAAAACTTTGTAAAATGTAAAGAAACGTAAAATTGAAAGATATTTTAAAGTAGGAAATTGTAGAAAAATAGTACAATTCATTGTGTGTGGTTGTAGTATAACTCTCTGGGCACATGATTCATTTGAAACAATGTATTTTAATATTTAGTTTTAAAATCTAGCACATATTGTCATGGCAAGTTAGTAAAAAAAAACCCGTTTTCTCAGCTTCTAGAACTGTTACTAATATTCCACTTGCCCGAACAGCAAAATTTTGGGGGCAAGTGTAACCACGGTTGGAAAATCGAAGTTGTGATAAATGTAATAAATTTGAAGTGATATTCTGAATCTACATGCAAACAATAGTTAGTACACAAAATATTGTTACATTTACTTTTAAAATGTAAATACAACAAATTTTCAAAGTTTAATCTTTGAATTTACATATAAAGGTCGCATGGAACCTTTTTTAACATTCAAAAAGTACATTTTTTCATAATATGTTATTTAGCTTTTTAAGGTTAAGAACCTTAGAACAAGGTCCAGACAATGATGGCAATTAAGCTGAAACTTCTCTTATCAGTTGATTGATAAGCTGCGGTTACACTTGCCCCCTGGTTCCACCCCACTCCACCCTAATTAATTTATTATCGAATACACTACTTTATCCTAGTTTTTTTTTTAAATACATTACCTTTACAAAAGCAAGTTATGAATGTGCTTATTGTGTCATTTCGTACATAGTTGTGTGTATATATAAGTACTCAATAAATGATTAGTCGGCAACGGTGTTGCAAGGCAAGTTGCCAAGGATTGCATGTTTATACATCTACATTGTTGTTGGTAGTATTGCAGCTTATCCATAATGGATGTCCCTATAACCACTACAGCCTGGCATGCCGTAGCCTCTACAACATACGAACTGTACTTCGTACTTAAAGTCTTTTATACTAATTGGTCGTGATAAATAATTCCATAATAATTTACGGATATGTTAACTTAATAATTAATTTTTTTTTGTAGTTAAAACTTTTTCAAGTGAGTTTGTTTGGATTGGAAGAATATAAGGTATGTCTTACCCTTCAGATATCCAAGAATTTGTCATATTTTGCAAAGTATCGCTGGTTGGGTAGATTCTTCCAGCCCGATAGTCGTGAGCGACTTTGTATCTTGCACCCTAGCTAATCTCCAGCAAACTATACTACGGGAATCGATTTAGCCATTTATTTTGGCTCATTTGTTCATCTAATTGTATAGCAAAAATTGCATTAATTGAACATTTATACAGTAATGAATTTTTTATTGTGTTGTGTATACCTACTTTACGTTATTTCCAAATTTTGAATTAGCATTCCTAGCAATGATGCGACATGTTATTGGAGAACTAAAAATAAAACAACCTGTAACTTATTTTATAATGATTTTGCAAACTGTTAATACCAACTGGGGGCGTAGCTCAGATGGTAGAGCGCTCGCTTAGCATGTGAGAGGTACCGGGATCGATACCCGGCGCCTCCAGATATTTTGGTGTTACTCATGAATTGTAATAATAAAATGAACAAAAATCGATTGTTTTTAACATATTATATTTTATAAAAAAACTAGCTGTAACCCGCGGGCTTTGCCCCGTTTAACTTCTTAATTTTCAAGATTATCTCGTTCACATGGCTCAATCACGTCCT